TTTTTTTTTTTTTGATCGCTGTCTTCTGTATTAACGCTCCGTTCTTTCGTGATTGTGTATAAAATAGATCACTTTTTCGTGTATAAGCGCATCACTATTCCTTTCGAAGCGTTTTAACGTTTGTTTGAAATTTTGTAACAAAACATAAACCAATTTGACGTTTGGCGTTTGCCGTAAACGAGGTAAACGAGAATCTAAAACTCTATTATTACAATTACTTCCTCTCGTGGATTAAAAAAACAGTTCTGACGATTCGATGACCGCGCTGAACCTAATAAATAAAGATGATATTCCACTATAAACTATCATAAATTTGTTAAATAAAACTTATCAACGAAAACTTCGACAATTATACTGCCGTGAATAAAAATATACGCTAAAGAAAATAACTGAACCCTATGCTTTGGTATTAACTTATTACTTTAAACAGCTGTATTTGTGCCTTCTCAATAAATATAAATGTATTTTTTAATAATTTTTAATGTAACTAAAGCAAAATTCAAAACATATAGCAAAATAATAGTCGAAAGTTCTTATTCAGCAGCATGATGAATATAGCTAGAGAAATACGAGTGTGGCCTAGTGCTGCTTTTAATATTGATAACTGATCCGGAGCTTTTTCTGTCTACAGCATTATCAGAGGCAAGTGAATCTATGATAAATACATACGAAGCTATACATATGGTAATAGAAAAGCAGAAATATATTTGATGTAACAAATTTTTATAAACAATATTGAATTATTATCAGTTATTTATATCACGCTTAGCCAGGCTTTTTGTAAGGAAAAAGAAAGAAAAAAAGGAATCGGGAACCATGCTAAAATCCGGATTCCGAGCGATTGGATTCCAGAATATATAGCTCACAGGATCTTTTCTGGAGCGTGGCAGTTTCGGCGAATGATATGCATTACATCATACTGGGGCCAATTCAACCCTGACACAAGCTAAATGAGTTGAGTACATTCAGAACATTCAAAGTCGTTAAAAGGTCCCCTGCCAGTGACCCTTTGCTTGGCTGTGTATGTTTCTGTTTTACAAGAAGCACTTATCCGTCTAATCAAGAGACATACGATGCTTGTAATTTGTGTCCTTGTTCTTGTGGTTTTTACTCAGCAAATTACCCAAGGTAAGACTTAAATGTTATCGAAACTATTCAAAGCATTATGCTGAATAACACCATCTGATATTAACTTGATTTAAAGGTTTGTCTGTTCAAATCATTACAAAGTTTTCGAATCTTTTTCATTTTGTAATGAATAAGAAAGATWTTGATTTGATTTTTAACTGTCAATTTGCCTTTAGCTTGCATTTAGGAATCAATTGAAATTGTTATATCGGATACTTCCGCATCCCCAATCCTCTATGGGATATTCGTTGCAAAGTTGTTTAATTCTTGTCTTAAACGGATTTGTAATCGGGCTTAATCTCTTCAGTACGTTTCATAGAAAAATAGACATAGCTCCGGAGATGATTTTGATGTGATTTTTATCACAATAATTCATTTTTAATTTTTAATTGATGCCAAATATCGAAGTACTTGTTGAATTCCTTACATCTCGCATAATTAGAAAGCAGAACAACTGTAAATTATTGTTCATCTCCATGTGATGTGAAGATAAAATTCGTATCACCGCACGCCAATGTAATAATGCCACGAGATTTCAGCATGATAGGATTGTTGTTATTACTTTAAATATTAGGAAATACATGAATATAATGCAAACAACGCACAAGAACAGTCTTCTTCACGGTTACCTGCGCCATCTTGAAAGGTAGCCGTGTCTTTACATCAAAGCGAGACAACCGTTGAGCATGCAATGATAGAAACCTGTGAATAATTGTCTGTAGGTGTGAAAGAAGGTTTCTATCATTGCATGCTCAACGGTCGTCTCGCTTAGATGCAAAGTCACGGCTACTTTTCAAGATGGCGCAGGTAACCGTGAAGGAGACTACTGCATCTATCAAAAGGGCTACTAATTATATAGGGGTCATATAAAGCTTACTCCGAGCGTGACAACTCAGTCTTATCAAGAATATCCTTTGTTAAAGCCATTTATGAAAAATCGTTAAAATCTTTGTTAATTATATAAATTRATTGCTAAAAGAAAGATGTAGGGTATGGTCGTAGTTTGTCATCTAATTTCGTTGATAGTCGCTGCTCTAACCTAACAGGCGATTGACAATTAATCGCGAAGCTCTAGACGACCACATGTTCAACATGGCTAGGGATCATTTTGACGATCACCTACAACCTTCCTGCTAATTAAGCAGACAAAAGACAGTCGCCACCCAAACACTCTACATAAGCGCTATTCAACTCAAAATTCTAAAGGAACAATTTCCGTTTCCTTTCAGCTTCAGAAGCACCATCTATCATAGCACAMCCAGAAAATACAACAGCAAATGAATGGGAAACCGTTACATTACACTGCAATGTCAGTGGYAATCCAGAACCTAMCGTTACGTGGTGGAAAGACAAYCAACTCCTTTCTATATCAGGAAGACTAACCCAAGACAGCAGTAATAATTTAACAATAACAAACATCACTAGAGCTGATAAAGGTTTCTACTATTGTAACGGTACTAACAACGTCAGCTCTACCGTGTCAAATTCGGCGTACATCACGGTTAACTGTAAGTATAGCTTAAAGTAAAAGTTTGAGGAAAATGATGAAAAATATAATACTGTGGTAGAACAGAAATCGTTTTCCGTAAATATGTGTTTTTACTAATTTATTCGTAAGACACTGAATCTCGTTTAGTTGTGCTTGAATTTCATTACAGATCCACCGTCGATCAAATCTGCACCAAGCAATGTTACCAAGATCGAAAAACAAATTGCAACTTTCAATTGTGATATAGACGCCGGCATCCCGATATCCACAGTAACGTGGTTGTACGAAGGTGCACTTATCAATACAAGTGATGGCTCCATGAAGTACAGTGTTATTACCCCTTCGCCAACAAGCGATAATGTTATATCGGCATCTTTAACGATAAATAATTTGAAGAGAGATGAAGCGGGGACTTACCAATGTAAAGCTGAGAACAGCCTCAACAATACAGAATCCGATCGTGCTTTCTTGGTTGTACAGTGTAAGTAACACTATTTCACGAAACCGCTACAAGCACATGAAATAATGATATCGTACGATAC